TGACTTTTTATTATTTACGACATTTATGTATTTACTGATTTACCTGTTTATTTTTATTTGCTTATCTTCATCTAATTTATTTTCTTATTTGTTTATTTGTCCATTCATTTCTCTATTTATTTATTACTCGAATTATTTTTTCTTCGTTCCATTCTATATCCATTCATCTATATCAATTTTTACATGTGAAAGATTTGTGTCAGTTGACCTAGTTTATACATGGAGATTAATTATCGAGATTTTTCCACACACACACACACACACACACATCACACCACACACACCACACACACACACACACACACACACACACACAACACACACACAACACACACACACACAAAACACCACTCACTTCTAAAAAAAAAAAAAAAAAAAAAATTTTTCCAATAACTGCCACGAACGTACGCATTTCACCCCAGTGCGCATATGGGTATTTTTATTCGAAGTCAAATGCAATTATTTCGGAATTTGATCAAATGTATTTTTCTTGGACTGATTGATAGTGATACTGATGATTTATTCTGTAGAATGTGATGTGGTAACTCACTCTCTCGCTCACTACTATTGCTGTTACCATTTTACTATTAGTACTAAGAATGAGTGATAATGATAATAGTAATTTCAATTGTCAGTTTATTTCATCATAGATATTCATTTGTGTTGGAGCCAAATGAACGAAAATAAAAGGGAATTGAACAGAAACACCCATATACATAAACACAAAACACACACAAACATCCAAACAATAGTTGAAAATATTTAGTAACCGGATTCTCGAAATGTAGTCGTACATTTGTTGAATTATAGTTTGAAGTTGACATGCCTTCCTATTCCTCTATACACAGTACAGTTTTTTCTTCTTAAAAAAAGGTCGAAGAAAATCACCTTAATAATAATAATAATAATAAATGGTCGAAGAAAATCACCTTAATAACGTGAAGAAATGTCATTATTTTAAAGTGAGCGCATAGATAACATCCCATTTACAATCCTGTATTGGCACTTCCTCGTTAAACAGCAGGCAGATAAAATAAAATGAAACAAATTAATAGAAATACATTTTTCAAAAGCATGTCCTTCATTCATTGCGATGGGGAAGATTAGGCTCCGCCCCTTTGGCCGCTGCTCGACTATATAAAGGAAAGGAGGCTGAGCGGGTCATCAGTTCACCCTCAATTCTCCAGCAAAGAAATCATGAAGGTACTCATTGGAGCGTAGCTTTATACACACTTAAGTTATATTTTATTCATTTTGTTAATAACGGAAACGAAACGAAAAAAAGCTATTTAAGAAGTAATAGTACAAGTGTAAGATGCAGAGTCTTAAAGGTCATGAGAGAGAAGCGTTATTATTCAAGGCCAAGTTCTATTCTGTAATGTACAGGCTATTTGGGAAACGGATATACAGAATGCGTATCAGAATACAGGAGGACCATCACCAATACAATTAATGTTTTTCCCTTGTCCGTTTAGGCAGCAGTAGTCCTGTGTGTGGTGGCGGCGGCGTGGGCGGCTCCCCAGGGCGGCTACAACTACCAGGCGCCCGTGGTTCAGCAGCCCGAGTACCCGTCGGTGCCGCCCAGTACAACTTCCAGTGGGACGTCAACGACCAGTATTCCGGCAACTTCTACGGCCAACAGGAACAGCGCGACGGCGACAACACTCAGGGCAGGTGAGGCGGGGAGATAGTCGTCAGTCTGGACCGGAAAATACTGAGATCATTTCACAAAGAAAGGTCTTACCGGCCAGGCCAACTATTTTAATTACACATAAATTTTAAAAGTCTTTTTTTTTTTCTTATATGCAAGGACATGAATTGCAATGTTCATGAACAAACAACCCAGTCAGCAGGATTCTTTTAAAAGCGATATATCTTCTGCATCCCCAGCTACTACGTCCAGCTGCCTGACTCTCGCCGCATGAGGGTCGACTACTACTCCGACGCCAGCGGCTTCCACCCCACAGTCACCTTCGAGGGCGAGGCACAGTACCCAAGTGCCCCTGCCCAGGTCTACTCTCAGCCTGCCCCTGCCCCTACCCAGGTGCTCCAGCCTGCCCCTGCCCCCGCCCCCACACAGTTCTACTCTCAACCTGGAAAATGATTTCCTTCTTCGAGTGTCGGGATCTGCTTCTCTTTTCCTTCAGTCATCGCACACCTTTCATGATCTGAACTTCGATATTCACCATTCATTATCTTCTACAACCTATTTTGTTTCCTTTTCTGTAATGTTTACACGTTTCTTTAAATCGATATATTTTTATAGAGATTCCGAGAGAATATTTTTATAATAAAACTGACGAAATGACCTTGTTATAGATTGCTTTTGAATGGAAGGAACATAACTTGATCAAAGTAAAAAACAGATATGAATTAAATAAACAATTCATGGCCAGTTCTGTTCCAAGAACTGTACTGAGCATACATACTTATCTATACTTCGTTATACACGATACGTACACATGCTCTGAAAATACTCTGCACATATGTGCGATATATCTCGCTTGGAACCTGAGAACATGTTTCGAGACACTGAAATGGACGTTTCTTGGTTGTAAGTCTGAGGACGATCACTTACCAATACTTTTTAAGATTTATGTCTTTAGCATGTCCCGGACATGTTGCCATCAATGTTCCGGGCAGTGCCGTGTGTACAAGGCCTTATGTTAAATCGTCTTTACCTGATTCATATCCAAAATATTCCGATCCCAGGCAAGCGGTTATGAAAGCTGTAATTAATAACAATTCTAATCTTCATTGTCGGGACTCGTATGGCGAAAGGAAGCTACAGGTCTTTCAAAGTAATTCATACTATTCAAGTTTCGTTTTCTTACCATTACCTAATAATTTACGATATCCAACCAGAACTTAAAACCCCCTTAAAACTGCAAGCACCAACGTATCGGACGGAAAGTGGCGGGCAGCAACCTTAGACTTTTCATCACTGGAGTAAAAATGGAACCCAAGTAACATTCAACTTGGGAAGGAAGTGTGACTCTTCAAGGAGAGGAAAACGAAGAAACCTTAGCACGCTTCTTTATCAGGACATCCATAAAGTATAAAATTATAAACGATACGTATCAGCACTGCTTTCTCAGAAGTCAAACAACCGATTTTACCGTACGCTTTCGCTCAGGTAAAATAAACAGAAAGAAAAAGAACTCGTTTCTATTTTAATCCCTACTGTATTGTGTCGGCATCTATCAGAAGAGTAAAATAATAATTAAGATTGCCATTGTGATATCCGAGTACATGTATCACAGGTAGAGAGCAGAATCAGCAGGGAAGGTGGCATTAACCTCCACTCTTTACAATCCATATATTGGACGTGTATACTGCCCCTGTGCTTCGTGGATTTCTCTGTCACTCTGAGTTTTCCATATGTTGGAGATTTCCTCAAATGGGGACTGGCTGGAAGCGAACGGTATGCGCCACATTTCACGTAAGAGATTATTACTGAAGTACCTTCACCACATATTACCATACGTGTTTATTATTCGTCAGTCGCAGTCGTAACGAGAAAAAAATTCTATAATCTAATGTTTTTTATGAAGTTACATTCCTTCCTTTCTTAGTTTTTGTTAGTTTTTCCCTTGCGGTGATTCACGTATCACGTGTTTTTCTACGAGTAAATGTTATACTTTGGCTATTTTGGGTAGATGTCTCGGAAGTGAAGGATCGTGTAAAATTACTATTATATACAAGATAGTGAAAAAAATATGTATATACTTCCGACGCTATTTATTTAAGCCAAGGTTAATGCTAGAGACGGTAAATGTCTGATGATTACGTTTTCGTGGCCAACATTTCAATAGTCCTTTTATGATTTCAAGGTTAAGTGGAGTGAAAGAATAAGGTACTGAAGTATGAACTAAACAATCTTTCATCTCATATCCTCTTATGAAATAAACTTTGGAGTAACAAAGATTATTTAGAGATTTATTTCTAGATGTGTGCAGCTTATGTTGCAAAATAGCGAAGACAGTTGAATAGACCTTATCAAAACATTCTCACAAAATCTTGATTTACGCAAATAATTGACCTTCCAAGCTGAAGCGTTTGAAAACAGCTCCTGAGACCATCCATAAGATGAATGACTGTATAGGCAACAACCCTAATATCTCCTTTTGATCGTTAATGGTACAAATTGCCAAACATTCTTCTTGTGCAGTATGCCAATAATCGTTAACGATCGGTGAGATTTTTGCATTAATTATGAAATCAGCGGACATGCGACAGACGAGTGATACCGGAGGTGGTTCTTCTTGACTTCGTTATAGCGCATCGTACGCTACAAAATGTGTTTCTTAAATAGGGTATTGTGTTGACGTTTATTCATTCTTTCTTTTATTAATTTACTCATTAATATATCTCTTTACTTATTCATTCATATTTTAAAACTTATTTATGCATTTATCTAATGATCTGTTTACCTATATATTTGATTATCTTTTTTATTTATTTAGCCACTGATTTACTGATTTACGCATTTATGTATTTACTGATTTACCTATTTATTTATTTATTTGCTTATTCTTCATCTAATTTATTTTTTTTATTATTTGTCCATTCATTTCTCTATTTATTTATTACTCGAATTATTTTTCTTCGTTCCATTCTATATCATCCATTCATTATATATCAATTTTTTACATGTGAAGATTTGTGTCAGTTGACCTAGTTTTACATGGAGATTAATTATCGAGATTTTTTCCACACACACACACACACACACACACACACACACACAAACACACACACACACACACACACACAAAAACAAAAACACCACTCACTTTCTAATAAAATACTGCCAATAACTGCCACGAACGTACGCATTTCACCCCGCGCATATATATTTTTATTCGAATCAAAGTGCAGTTATTTCGGAATTTGATCAAATGTATTTTTCTTGGAAATGATTGATAGTGATACTGGTATTATTCTGTAGAATGTGATGTGGTACTCACTCTCTCGCTCACTACTATTGCTGTTACCATTTATACTATTAGTACTAAAGAAGAGTGATAATGATAATAGTAATTTCAATTGTCAGTTATTTATCATAGATATTCATTTGTTGGAGCCGAATGAACGAAAATAAAAGGGAATTGAACAGAAACATACATACACATACACATAAAACACACACATACATCCAAACAATAGTTGAAAATATTCAGTGACTGGATTCTCGAAATGTAGTCGTACATTTGTTGAATTATAGTTTGAAGTTGACATCCTATACACTACAGTTTTTCCTTCTTAAAAAGAAAGAAAGAAAGAAAGAAAAAAAAGGGTCGAAGAAACTCACATTAATAACGTGAAGAAATGTCATTATTCTAAAGTAAAGTGAGCGCATAGATAGCATATAGGTTATCCCATTTACAATCCTGTACTCGCACTTCCTCGTAAAACAGCAGACGAAATACAATGAAACAAATAGAAATACATTTTTCAAAAGCATGTCCTTCGTTCATTGCGATGGGGAAGATTAGGCTCCGCCCCTTTGGCCGCTGCTCGACTATATAAAGGAAAGGAGGCTGAGCGGGTTATCAGTTCACCCTCAATACTCCAGCAAAGAAATCATGAAGGTACTCTTTGGAGCGGTAGCTTTTATACATGCACGGAAGTTATATTTTATTCATTTTGTTAGTAACGGAAACGAAACGGGAAAAAAACTATTTAAGAAGTAATAGCACAAGTGGAAGCTGCAGAAAGTCTTAAGGTCATGAGAAGAGAAGCGTTATTATTCAAGGCCAAGTTCTATTCTGTAATGTACAGACTATTTGGGAAGCGGATGTACAGAATGCGAATCAGAATACAGGAGGACCATCACCACTACAATTAATCTGTTTTTTCCTTTGAATGTTTAGGCAGCAGTAATCCTGTGTGTGGTGACGGCGGCGTGGGCGGCTCCCCAGGGCGGCTACAACTACCAGGCGCCCGTGGTTCAGCAGCCCGAGTACCCGTCGGTGCCCGCCCAGTACAACTTCCAGTGGGACGTCAACGACCAGAACTCCGGCAACTTCTACGGCCAACAGGAACAGCGCGACGGCGACAACACTCAGGGCAGGTGAGGCGGGGAGATAGTCGTCAGCTGGACTTGAAATTTTTCTGCTGCTTTCCTAGCAAAGAAAAATTTAATTATTATAGTCTAATTAATTAATCTTTTAGAATATTACTATTGGAAGTGAAAAGAACTGCAGTTTTCTTTAAAAAAGTAATATGCTCTCTATTGACAGCTACTACGTCCAGCTGCCTGACTCTCGCCTCATGAGGGTCGACTACTACTCCGACGCCAGCGGCTTCCACCCCACAGTCACCTTCGAGGGCGAGGCACAGTACCCAAGTGCCCTGCCAGGTCAACCCGCCCGTGCCCTGCTCAGGTGTACTCCCACCGCCCCTGCTCCTGCCCCTACTCAGCAATATTCCAGCCTGCCCCAGCCCCTGCCCTGCCCCTAACCAGGTGTACTCTCAGCCTGCTCCTGCCCCTGCTCCTGCCCCCACACAGTTCTACTCTCAACCTGGAAAATAATTTCTTTCCTTGAGTGCCGGAATCTGCTTCTTTCATTTTCAGTCATTGCACACAACTCAATTTTTTTTACCATTAATGTCCACCATTCATTATCTTCTATTATTAATCTATTTCGTCTCCCTTTTTTGTAATGTTTCTTTAAATTGATATATTTTTGTATAGATTCCGAGAGGATATTTTTATAATAAAAACGAACAAAAAGATGGGCGTTCAGACTTACGGACCTTGTTATGACTGTTGGCAAAAGGAAGGAAAATTGCTCGGTCAAAGAAGAAGATAATATATATATGTATTATATATATATTATATATATATATATATATATATATATATATATATATATACACACACACACACACACACACACACACACACCACACACACACATTATATATATATATATATATATATATATATATATATATATATATATAAGAAGTAAATAAACAATTCATAGTCCCATGAGCTATAATAAACACTTAATGTAGGCCACGACCACGATATGTAGATAAGTTTTGATACATGCTCAAAACATTGCTGTAGACATTTCTGCATATATGCTCGACGTATTTCGTTTAGATATTCAAATGTGGCACTGGATTGAACTTTTCCTGGCTGTGAGCATATGTAATTGCAATATACCTGTTATCTTATGTTTGTGAATTTAGCACTGCATGTCCCGGATATGCTACAAGAATGTTTCGGGAACATTTTAGGCTAAACTGTCATGTCAAGTAATATTGAAAACAATGAGTTTCAACACTCCGAAACTACATAGCCTACTGCTTGCCTTGACTCTTTACCATGAAGATGGAATGAAGACTCCAAAGCTGTTGTCTCATCTTCTGCTAGACTTCCGAAGTACTTTTTTTTACCACTGAATCTGCGATAAAACCCACTACGAGATTTTCCCTGTGTTGGGTATTTCCTCCAAAGGGGACTAGTTGGAGGCGGACGGTATGTGTCAGAAATCATGCAGAGGATTATTACAAGAGCGCTGCTCCGTGCGTATTTCCTCTATTCTCTCTCTCTCTCTCTCTCTCTTCCGTATGTATTTGATATTCATGTTATATCCGCGAGCGCCAAGTGGATCGAAACGTGTCTTTATTAAAATATTTTTTTTGTTGCATTTTGTTGCATTCCCATTCGGCAAGCCAGTTCTGCTTCTGAGTGATTCAGGAAATTGGTCATGGGTATCATGCGTTTCTGTAACTGCAAAGGATGTTTTACAGTGGGTACTTTGGATCACCATCTCTGAAAGTAAGAATACTATTAGACTGTTATTATGCTATTGTGTAATAAAAGTAATATATAGTAATTCTGGCGTTTGGTGTGTGAGCTGAGGTCGAAGCCGATGAGGGTAAATATAGAATAATTTTCTTGGCCTTTCTCTCTCTCTCTCTCTCTCTCTCTCTCTCTCTCGTTATTTCGCCCTTACTCTCTCTCTCTCTCTCTCTTGCTTGATTTCAAGTTTAAATAATTTGATCTCATTTTCTTCTGAAATAAGTTTTGAATGACAAAGATTATTTATACAATAATGTCTCGGTTATGTGCAGTTTGATAGCAACATAGCAGTGTTAAACAACAATTATTCAACCAATCTCTCAAAATCTTGATTTATATAAGTGATTTGACCTTCCGAGCTAATGCCTTTGAGAGCTGTTCCTGAGACCATCCACAAAAATAATGGCCGTATAGACAACAGCCTATTATTCCATTGTCACCGTTAATGCTTCAGACTGCCAAATATTCGTCCTGTGCAGCATGCCAAAGCGCTGGCGATCAGTGAGATTTTTGCATTATTTATAAAATCAACGGGAATTGAGAGGCAGAATGGCAGGCAATACCAAAGGCGGGGGATCGTCTTTCATGTTATAGAAAGTTTTTACTAGAGACATTAATCTGTCTCTTTTAACCTCTGTTGTTGTTTTTTTATTTAATGTGTTTGTTTATTTATTTATCTATCCATTTACTTATTTACTTACTTGTTCATTTATCTAATTACTTTTCTCTTTATATTTATTAATCTAATTGTTATTCAATTTGTCTGGCTTCAAATTCCCACAGTCATTTGACCTTGTCGAAGCGTACGTTCAAAATTGTTATCGAAAATTCCAGAAAAGAAAATGGATGCATTTGAAGAATTAGGTCTCAATGTACTTCGTTTTATATCAAAGTTAATTATCAAGGTTCTACACCCATTCATACATACGTACAATACACAGGGTCGCGCGCACGCACATACACAAAGACTCGATAAGACATTTCATTAAATAAGGGGATGGTACCAATAACTGCCCACACAAATTTACGTATAGCCTAATACCATATATGAATGATTTTACTGGCGGTAAAATGGGTTATTTCGGAATTGCAAGGTATTTTTCTTGGGTCTGGTTAGGGGTGATACTGACGACTAATTTTGTAGCATTTCATTTGGTAACTACTAATACTATTGTGTTACCATGACGACTATCAGTACTAACAATAATATTTATACTGATAACACCCGCTGTTATCCGTTTATTTCCTTATAGATATTCCTTTGTGTTGGAGCCAAACTTTGTGTGTTAATGAACATAAACACACACGCTCTCCCGCACGCACAAACTCTCACACATCGTACCACACAACACATCGAAACAATGGCTGAAGATATTTAGTAACTGCTTTCTCGAAATGCTGGTTTGCATTTGTTACATTTCTAAGAGGTTTAGGGTGACGTGCATACCGCATGGTGTAAGGTTTGTATTCCAAAATAAATGGTACAGACATACGCTATGCATTCTTTTACGTGATACTAATAAAAGAAATGCTCGAAAGAAATCATCTCAGTGACGCATATACATCGCATTATTCTCTTTCTGAAAAGGTCATGTAAAATGAACTCATATAATATTATTCAAATTCCAATCCTGCATTCGTACATTCTCGAACATAAATAGAATGAGAGACAGAGAGATGGATAAAAATCATCATTCATCAAATCAAACTAAAAGCTGATAGAATACATTTTTTTTTTTACAAAGCATGTCCTTCGTTCATTGTCACGCGAAGATTACGCTCCGCCCCTTTGGCAGCTGGCGGGCTATATAAAGGAAGGGAGGCTGAACGGGTCATCAGTTCACCCTCAGTACTCCAGCAAAGAAATCATGAAGGTACTACTCTCTTTTTTAGAGATATACCTTTTGTGCATGCACTTCGAAGTTATACGGCATATATAAATGTGGGGTGTGGGAAAAAAAAGGATATATAAACCAGACAATAAATTACATGTGTACGGCGAAAACCATTAAGTTCAAGAGCAGTGGTCTTCTACAATGTGCACGTTATATGAGATGCAAGGAATGCAGATGCAACATTAACAGTGCAATTACTTTTGTTTTTTTCCTTTGATTGTTTAGGCAGCAGTAGTCCTGTGTGTGGTGGCGGCGGCGTGGGCGGCTCCCCAGGGCGGCTACAACTACCAGGCGCCCGTGGTTCAGCAGCCCGAGTACCCGTCGGTGCCCGCCCAGTACAACTTCCAGTGGGACGTCAACGACCAGAACTCCGGCAACTTCTACGGCCAACAGGAACAGCGCGACGGCGACAACACTCAGGGCAGGTGAGGCGGGGAGGTAGTCGTCAGCAGGGACTTGGAAATCATTTTTCTGCTGCTTTCCTAGCTTGTAAGGTGATTGATGAATTGTATGTGACCTTATAGTCATGTGATAAGGTAAAAGAAAGCGTAAATTATCATCCTGTTTAGAAATAGTTACTATTAGGGAAAGTGAAAAGAATTGTGTTGTCAGTTTTCTTTAAACTAAAGTACATGCTCTCTATTGACAGTTACTACGTTCAACTGCCTGACTCTCGCCTCATGAGGGTCGACTACTACTCCGACGCCAGCGGCTTCCACCCCACAGTCACCTTCGAGGGCGAGGGACAGTACCCAAGTGCCCCTGCCCAGGTGTACTCTCAACCCGCCCGTGCCCCTGCTCAGGTGTACTCCCAACCCGTCCCTGCTCCTGCCCCCTACTCAGCAATATTCCCAGCCTGCCCCAGCCCCTGCCCAGGTGTACTCTCAGCCTGCTCTGCCCTGCCGCTGCTCCTGCCCCCACAGTTCTATTCTCAACCTGGAAAATAATTTCTTTCCTTGAGTGCCGGAATCTGCTTCTTTCATCTTTCAGTCATTGCACACAACTCATTTTTTTACCATCAATGTCCACCATTCATTATCTTCTATTATCTAACATATTTCGTCTCCCTTTTTGTAATGTTTCTTTAAATTGACATATTTTTGTATAGATTCCTATTTTATAATAAAATGAACAAAAAGCTGGGTGTTTAGACTAAGGACCTTGTTATAGACTGTTGGCAAAAGGAAGGAAAATTGCCTCGGTCAAAGAAAAGAAAAGAAAAGAAAAAAAAAATAATACATAAACATACATACACACACACACACACACACACAACATACACAACACCACACACACACACACATATATATATATATATATATATATATATATATATATATATATATATATATATATTATATAATAAAATAAATAGAATTCATAATCCCATGAGCTATAATGAACATATTATATAGGCCACGACCACGATATGTAATAAGTTCTGATATATGCTCAAAACATTGCTGTAGGCATTTCTGCATATATGCTCGATGTATTTCGTTTAGGTATTCAAATGTGCTAACAGTTTCGAGGCACTGGTTGAACTTTTTCCTAGCTGTAAGCATATGTAATTGCAATCACATGTTATCTTATGTTTTGTGACATTTAGCACTGCATGTCCGGATATGCTACCAAGAATGTTTCGGGGAACGTTTTAGATTAAACTTTCATGTCAAGTGATGTTGAAAACAAAGTTACAACACTACCATAGCCTACTGCTTGCCCTGACTCTTTAACATGAAGATGGAATGGAGGAAGATTCCAAAACTGTTGTCTCATCTGCTAAACTTCCCAAGGACTTCTTTACCAATGAATATGCGATAAAACCCAGTACGAGATTTTCCCTGTGTTGGATATTTCCTCCAAAGGGGACTAGTTGGAGGCGGACGGTATGTGTCAGAAACCATGCAGAGGATTATTACAATAGGCTGCTCCGTGCGTATTTCCTCTCTTCTCTCTCTCTTTCTCTCTCTTTCTCTCTCTCTCTTCCGTGTGTGTTTGATATTCATGTTATGTCCGCGAGCGCCACGTGGATCGAAACGTGTCTTTAGTAAAATAATTTTTTGTTTGCATTATTGTTGCATTCCCATTCGGCAAGCCAGTTCTGCTTCTGAGTGATTCAGGAAATTGGTCATGGGTATCATGCGTTTCTGTAACTGCAAAGGATGTTTTACAGTGGGTACTTTGGATCGCCATCTCTGAAAGTAAGAATACTATTAGACTGTTATTATGCTATTGTGTAATAAAAGTAATATATAGTAATTCTGACGCTAGGTGTATGAGCTGAGGCGAAGCCGATGAAGGTAATATAGAAAAAATTGCTTGGCCTTTCTTTCTCTCTCTCTCTCGTTCTTTCGCACTCTTTCTAGAGCTTCTAGACTCTTCCTCTCTCTCTCTTGCTTGATTTCAAGTTTAAATAATTTGATCTCATTTTCTTCTGAAATAAGTTTTGAATGACAATTATACAATAATGTCTCGGTATGTGCAGTTTGCATAGCAACATAGCAGTGTTAAACAACAATTATTCAACCAATCTCTCAAAATCTTGATTTATGTAAATGATTTGACCTTCCGAGCTAATGCCTTTGAGAGCTGTTCCTGAGACCATCCACAAAAATAATGGCCGTATAGACAACAACCTTTTATCCCATTGTCACCGTTAATGCTTCAGACTGCCAAATATTCGTCCTGTGCAGTATGCCAAAGCGCGAGCGATCAATGAGATTTTTGCATTATTTATAAAATCAACGGGATTGAGAGGCAGAATGGCAGGCAATACCAAA